TCCAGTTTTTCTAGATATTCTTTAAATGACCTGGTACACCAGGACTGGAGAAAGAAGTTGACTTTTGCTAGCTGATCAACAAGTTTGGATTATTAAAAATTTCTGAGAGACAATGCATTAAATGGAAAGTTAATACAAATTTCAACTCTGCCTTAAACCATGTGTGTGACCTTATATAATTAGGCTACAAATTTTGACCTCATTTTCCTTAAATATAAAATAGGATTGATGAGTGACATGTATTGAGGCCTGATTTTTTGTCAACTATTGTGGCAAACACATAAAAAAGAAAGGTTAATAATAATTGTTTATACTTCATAAGATACTGATGAAGATCAGATTAGAAATTAGTATGAGTGGTTAAATATATATTAAGTGCTAATTAATTAAGGTGAATTTATATCATAAATTCTAAGCTTAATTGAATATTTTGCTTACTCCAGATCTACTACCCTTCTTGAAAACTGAGTCTCAATTCTATAGCAAGTCTGCTGATCCCTCAAAAGCATAGTAAGGAAAAAAACAATTTTCTTGTTTCTTTAAATAATACTAAAGCTGAAGTGAATCAACTTGTACTTTCTGAACATATTCTCTAAAATAAAAAATAGTCACACAGTGTATTTTTACAGTAGAAACTTCAGTTTTGCTGTCTTTTGTTAATAAGCTGATTATCTCTGGACAAATTTGAAAATCAATCATGTTCTAGGCAAAAATAACTGAAATATTAAAAGAGATCCATTTTAAGGCTACCACCAGCCACACAGGGTTAAAATGTCAATCTCTTTCTGCAGAAGGGCAAGAACTACACTCTCTGGTGAGTGGAGAGTGGCTTGGATTTCAACTCCCCCTGTACTCTTTGGTTGGATGCCCTCATGTTAGACATCCCTAAGAAGTTGTCCAAATCAGCCCTATTGACATAAAAAGGCAACTCATCTGCTAACTTCATATGTAGTATGCCTTATACATTAATCCACTTGCTCCACATGACTGTTATGGTTTGTGTCTAGATTGCCACCAAATCCTCATGTGGTCATAGGTTTTTCTTCAGATGTGGCTGAATCTAGAGTGTGTGATTGATTCATAATGTAATTTGGAGATTAAGGGTGCTAGGATTAAGGGTATGTGATTGCTGGATAAATCCACTGGTTGGATTGGTACCATCCTAGTCTCAGTAGTACTGAATATAATACAAGGGATAGAAAAAGGCTTGTCTCACTCTCTCTTGTTGCTTTTGCTGTCTTTTGCCACCATGAACTGTTGCCTTTCTGCCATGAGCTACCCTGCTTTGGAGCCAGCCAATTATGGCCTGAAATTACTACAAACTGTGAGCTAAATAAACCTTTTCCCCTTTAATTTTGGATGTCAGTTAGAAGAGAAATGTCTCAGCAATGAGAAAAGTAACTAAGACAAGGACAATATTACATGAAACAATATCTACAAAGTAGGCAATAATATTACTATTCTGCTCTGAGGCTAAGACTCAGAGTCCTGTAACATATAGGAGCAACGAGAGCTTAGTCAACAATTGAACTCTCACTTACTCTGTCTCACAGTCCTCCCCTTTCCTTAGATCACTTTGCCTTCCTAGACTTCTGTTGCTACACACATGAACATTCTGCATAAACAATGAGACATAGACACCTGGTGTTTAGAAGATGCCTTGTATTTGAAGAAGTTTTTGAATTATTATTTTACCTAGAAAAGCAGAGAAAGGCAGAACTAGTGTAGCATTTCTTAGACAAAGTGTCTGAAATGGTGACCAAAAACCATTTGACCTTTTTTTTGTCCTTTGAACCTTGATACTTTTCTGAGACAGAGCAATAATCTTTAACTGGAAACTTCTTTATCTGCACTTGAAGAATTCCAAAAGTCATCCAGTATTAGGCTTAGGAAGTGCGGGTTCTCCAAGAAGCATTAGGACCTACCAGGACATGATATCTCCTCCTTGGTTGCTGTAAAACGGTTACATCACTAGACAATGCAGTGGCACCTCGGTTCAGGAACTCAATTCTCTCCATGATTCTGGTTGCAAACCAAACTAGATCAAATTAAATTAACTGAATTAAAATTTCCCATAATCTTGACACTGAACATAACCACTGGATTTGATCCAGTTCTTGTCTAGTTGGCTAGGGCTGCCATTTTTGATCTCTAACTTTCAGGGCTGATTATTTTCCAGCCAGGTTTTATTTTGGGGAAAACATGTTATTACTAAAATGCTTGCTTAAGTAAAAAGAAAAAAATGGCCTTTGTCAACAACTCCTCAAAAGGAGAATATCACACTTTGAAGGAGTCCATAAATTCTTGGCTCAAAATAAGAAATAATCTGCTTAGCTGGCAATTGGATTTAATACAAGGATTTGTGTAATTTTCCAGACTTTTTTGCTCAAAGGCATTGAAATAATTTTCTTCTTTGTATGAAAAGCAGCCTTTAATGCCTGTTATCTCAATGCTCTTTCCACCCAGCTAAGCTTAAGGTGAGGCCTTCTGGCTCCGGCAAGCTGACCTCCTGAGGGTCTATAGGCAGAGTAACTCATGCAGTGATTAGATAATTTTTAATCACTCCTGGTGATTAGATAGCTGTATCGCTCACTGCTTTATGCAGGATCCATCCATGATCCCTGCCCTATAAGAAACCTGACTCTCAGCTGAGACTATTGGACATAACATGGGGACAGCTGGGAGGAGTCTTGGAGAATATATAAGGAATGATGTTACTAGATTGTCCACCAAGAGCTTGGAAAGACAGTCAACGTGTGGAAAATAACTGCAGGGAAAGCATGACTTGGGAAGGAAATGGAAAGTATATTGACACATCTAAAGTAAGATCACATCCACTGAAAGGGGGTCAGGTACACCCAAGCATCGTTCTGGCACTCAGTTTAATGGATTTAAAATATTCAAATATCTGTATTGTTTGTATTGTTCTTATGCTATTTTGTAAATGGATGTCTGTTTGTTAATATGTTTTTCTTCTTTTATTTTTAAAATAATTTTTAAAAAGAAAAAATATTCAAATAGCTAGTTAAAATTGGATGGAAAAAAGTATTTAAACTCACTAGTCATCAAATAAGTGAAATGAAATTGATAATGAGATTCTATTTTAAGCTTATTTTTAATTGATAATGCTCAGTGCTGATAAGGGCATGAATGATCAGTATAATCTTGGTCTTATATTTTGGTAGAAGTATAAAGTACTGTTTGGAAAGCAGTTTGGACACAGGAAGAGAAAATTCTTAAAATATTCATATTGCCTAACCCTAAGAAGAATATTGCAATATTTATATCTTCTATATCAAGTAATCTTTCTAAAGTATCAGCTTTAGGTTTAGCTGCCTATGATGGGAATCCCCAAATAACAAAGGAAAACAACATAGATGCTATCTGCAAGGAAAGATACAAAACGTGGTTCAGTTGGACACTATAGCCCAAAACAAAATTCTATTGCTAAGGAGGAAAAGGAGAAAGGATTTTGGATAGGTAACTACCTAGCTGGAGGGTAATCACCCTTGTAAACTAGAGATCAAAACTGTCAGCCCCAGTGAGGCTATCCTTGCCTTACCCACCTTATGAAGTAGACACCAAGAAAGAGAATAATGACAGCAGGTAAGGCTAGGACAGGCTAATTGTGGGCTGGTGTCTTTGTCTCTAGTTCTCAAGGCCAATTATTTTCTGACTAGGTCTTATTTTCGGGGAAAGATGGTAGCAAGTTTTGCTCCATTATCCAAGGGAACGTATTTGAACTTTTCAAATAATTTGTAAAATGCCATTCCTTTTTTAGGGAAAAGACCAAATTTTCAAAAATAGGGAAATATTCACAAATTATAATTCTATTTAATTGTTTCCCAGAACAAGGAATATTATCTACAAAGTCTAAAATGATAACTCACTATGTTTAAGGAAGGAAATTTAAAAAGAGCAAAATGCATTATTGTATGAAGTTCTCAGCTATACAAACAAATCTTCAAAGAAGATTTTATTTTATTAAACTTTTCTTCTTTTTCCATAGTGAGTGTACTGTAATGAATGCTAAGAAAATTGCAGACATTATTTTCTTAAATATTACAATTGAAGACAATTTCCTGTATTTGGGAAACAGGGTTGCAAATTGAAGATTCCCCAGGTTTTTCCCAGCGAAATGAATATAAGGGACTAAAACACAGCCTGATAAGTTTTCCAATTTTTTAGAAACCAATCTATCAACTGTGAATTGGAAAAATCAGGTCACCACTGAACGACCTAAATTTAGGTTGCCTACCAATGTTCTCCTCTACAAAACTAAATGTCAAAAAGCAATGGAGTCACATCAGCGTTCAGTCCCCACGTCGTCACCATCACCAACATATCTGATCCCTTAATTGAACTCTAAGTGTTTTATTTGCTTTCACCCTCTTGAAAGGTGTACATTATTGTTGGTTCTATTCTGCACATAAGGAACATATGGGACAGAAAGATTAAGTGACTGGATCACTATCCCACAGGTTGTAAATAGTAGAGCTGAAATCCAAGAACAGGCGACGTGATCCCCGAAGCTATAACTTTTCTGTTTACCATCCATAGAAATTGGAATAAAAACAGATTGTGATGCTAAGAAGTTGTTCATGAACATGTCATTAATGTGCCCACCCATATCTTTCAATCACTTCCTTAAAATTTCCAAGATAGTGATTGCAGTGATTTAAATAATAGGAAATTATACAAGGGTGGTTGTAGGAATCAAGCACCTAAAGTCTTAGACTTCTAATGGGAAGCAATAAATTCTGATGGTGTAAGATGGGTGGTCACAAAAAGGTTAAGGCCAAAGCAGTTTTTCATAACATTTTTAGAAAGAAGTCAGGCCTGATCATGACGCCACATGGAGACCATCACTGTCAAGCGTGGCCTGGCTGGCTGGCTGGGGAAGGGATAGGCTGCTGTCCCTGCAGATGTCTTCTCTGCCCTGGCTGTCTCTTCCTGAGCTGTACCCTACTTCTCAGTCTCATTTCACTTCTGTCTTTCAGCTGAAACTAAGATCTGCTTCAAATACTACCACGGAGTGAGTGGAGCCCTGCGAGCCACCACCCCCAGTGTCACGGTCAAAAACTCAGCAGCTCCTGTAAGTCATGGTTCTTCCATTTTCATCAGACCTAAGTCTGCTGCTTCTTTCCTGTTTTGTATTCTCTATGTGTGCACTTCTATGTGTATGCATTTGCATGCATGTACACGCACATACACAGAGATACACTGATTGATGGGTTAAGAGTAGATGGGAAGATACCTTTCAAAATAGTGAAGAGCAGCACACCTTCAGAAAAAAATGTGCCCCTTGTTTGTCAAGGAAATGCCAAGCTCCAGGAGTTGCTTAGCCAGCCAAATGTTTCTACTAGAGAAGGGCTTAACAGCAGGAGGTATTACTTTGGAGCTCATTCTTTTAATTCCTTGACTTTAAATATTTATATTTTCCTATGTTTTCATTTTGAGGCTTATAAATAATAGAATAGAATTTATTGCCTCAGACAGATCTAAGTCTTAAAGTATAAAATGACAGCCTTAGAAATGACCAGAATCTCTCTTCTTTTCTTTATTTAAATAAAGACACTATATCCAAAAGGCCCAAGTGAGGTGCCTCAGATCATACAGCTAACCAGGTACCAAAGATTTAAATCAATTGTTTTGTTTTCTATTTTGTTGCTCTGCTCAGTCTACAGTAATAGATGCCATCATTTCCTAAATTATAGTGTAGTTTTAACGTTTACAGTGCCTCTTACTTAATCCTCAAGGTACCAGATGAGGCTAGCTGAAATCTACTTGGAAATGGTGTTCTGTTGCCTTTTCACATTAATTTAAAATGACCAACTGAGTAAGATGAACAAAAACCAGTGAAGACTTGCTCATGCGAATGGAAGTAAAAAGGAAAGATTTTTGGTATGCCAAAAATAGAGAAAGAATACAGAAAACATTTGAAATGCAATATGAATGGTTCAGAAAAGACACTCACTAAAAAAATACCATTTTGCTATTTCACAAATCAGTTCAGCATGGTCTTGAAGCTGTGCTGATGGAAGTCTCCATAATAAGCAGTAAGTTAAGCAGGCAGACGTCAGAGCCTGAATCTTGGCTGCCTCCATCCTTAGGGGTCAAGCAGGACTGGATGCTGGGCTGAGTTTACCATGAGGGGACTCACAGGGGAGTAGAAGAGAGAGACAAGGAGGGCCCTGGATGCTTTACGGCTGCCATCTCTCCCAACAATGGCTATGTAAATGGGAACATGGTGTCTTTCACTTCATCTTCTAGATGGAACAGGAGTTTAAGTGTAGAATCTAGAGAAGTACCCTCAGAATTCTGAGCCCACTTCCATGCCTATATATACAAACAGCCCTCAAAAGAGGCTACTTCCCAAAGTCTAAACAGTCCTGATGCATGTTAGCCCACCATTAAGGATGGAATGTCAGATACTTAAGGCCAGAGAAAGAGAGACAAAGACAGAGCAAAGAAATCAGAGCTCAATAGACAATCCAGAAAGCACTGAATATATACCACTCAAAGAAAGAAGGAGTCGGGCAGTGGAAGGAAGCCAGCGCAGAAAAGCCTTCAGTGTCCAGGTCTGGCCTTTCCCACTGCATAGCAAGTCACCATGGAGGCTGATTCTTACCAGACACATCGCTCCCTCATCATGGCAGGGGTCTCCCACTGATGGGACTGGTGAATTGGCTCAAGCCTGGGACAGGAGAGGAGGAGAGATCCTCACCTTTACCTGTGCAGGCATGTTAAGGAGTGAGTGTGGGCCAGCCATGGAATTCACTTGTCATTTAAAGGAAGCTCCCTAAAGTCTTTGGCTTTTCTGAACTCAGCCTCCTGGAGGCTCCAGATGTTTTCTTGATTCTTGAAGCAATGTGGAGTGTGATCAACATCATCAGTGAGGTCCAACGTAAGTTTAAAATGAAGCAAGACAGCAACTCCCCAGCAAAGTCTTAGAACTGACAGGAAATGAGCCTTCCAATACTGGATTAAGTATCAGCAAGCACATGCTTCCCAGGGTCTGCCATCACCAGAAACAAGGGCTAACTTCCATCTGAGAAGTGAAAACGAGGTGCTTGGGTCATATTGTTTGACATAAAAAATTTAGGAAATTGTGTGGATTCTACTCCACCTCTGACTTCATCTTTATCTTTCTGTGCATGCTACTGTTGCCAGTACTAACAACTCAAACATCTCGAAATATTGTGACATATTCCTCTTGTCTTTAGCCTCTTCTCTTTGATGATTTCTCGTATACATCAATGGACACCCAGGTTCACACTTCGTGTACATCCCACAGGCAACTTTTGTTTCGCTTTTTAATCACCAAACATGTGAAGGTCTTATACTTAAGTCCATAGGCTGTCAGGGACATGATCTTTGGTGTCCACTGCCATCTTGTGATAGTAGAAAGAACCTCATTTCAGGGGGATCATGCTTTGCTTGTAAAACTGTATTGTAATCTGTACTGAAGTTTTATAGTAATTAGGCTATCATTACCCTTAATGTTTGAGTTTCTTTTGCATTGTTCTAGTTGGGTCTCAGCACACATAAGGCAGGTAGGAAAAACATTTTTGCTATTTGATCATTTAGCTATATGGTAATGGAATGGACCCCAACCTAGCTTATAATTTGCAATCCAGTTTAAGTATTGGTATAATTTGCCTACCTTCTGGGTTATGTAAGCCTTTGTGATCTGGTCTAAGAATCTAGGCACACTGTTTATAAGAGGAAATTCTATTAAATTGCTCCAAATTGGCTTGTCAGTAGCCTTTGAGTATCCATTTTCAAATTAAGTATTGCTGATGTGCACCAATCTTCTATGAAAAGTGCTGTCAGTAGCCATTATATCATGTGAAAGGGCCACTTTGTTTGTACAATATGCTAAAACTGTAATGCTTTGAAAAGGAGAAATAGGATATGAAATGCTCCTTTAGCACAATCAGTACTTTAATTTTCTCAGCCTAGTAAATTCTCAATATGTATTAGTTCTGTTTCTCATCCTTTCTTTCTCTTTTAGCTTTGTCTTTGTCTAATTGGCAACCATTGAGGTCTTTATTATCAGAAGAGGTTTTCACCAATTCTTACCATTCTGGAATTCTCATTTATTTGGTAGTTTTAATCATAGATTAGAAACTATAATGGAAAGGATCTATAGAGATAAATTAAGTGTAAGCCCTGTCATTAAGAGCTCACAGTTACTCTAGCACCAATTATCATACTCTGTGAAGTGTGTAGACTCTACACCCACCTTGCTGGTATGTAGCCAAAGGTGCCAACAGCAGCCATGCTGGCTTTGGGAGAGGTGGTATATGAGCTAAAGCACATGACATTGATGAGACTTTACCAGTCCCAGAAGGAAAGCCACACAACGCTGACAGCATGTGCAGAGGCCCAGTTGCATGATGTGTCACAGACCTGGCGGAGAAGGACATCTAAGTTACACCACTCTTGAAGAACACATGACTGTAATTTTTCCATATACCCCTCTGCACTTTGTTTTTTATATGTTCTGTGTACTGTTGGGAACATCTACCCTGTTTTGTATTTCCCTACAATCCCTGTAGAAAAATCATTTTGAAAGTAAGTCCCTCCTTTCTCTTGCTACCTTTTCTTTGTACATTATGTCTTTCCTAAGATCCTTGTGTTAGAGTGTTTTTTCATGATTATACATCAAAGGACAGAAATCTCTTTATATCTATAATTTGCCAAAACAAGGTAGGTGTTATGGTCTAGATCAAGAATGGCTCCAAAAGCTCTCATGAACTCAGATGTGAGGCTTTTGGAATGTGAATGAATCATGGGGCCACTGCAGCTGAATGTGGGGTTAGGAGGTGGGCCAGGTTAGAAGAGGTGGTCACTGGTGTGATGTGGGAGGGTATGTCTCCCTGTCTGGTGCCTCCCTTTGCTCTCTGCTTCCTGGATGTCCTGGTAGAAGCAAGTCTCCTCTACCTGGGGCCCTCCCACCATGCTGATCTTGCTTTGGACCCAGCCAACCATGGACTAAAAACACGAGCCAAAGTACACCTCTCCTCACATTGTGGGAGTGTCTGAGACAATGAAAGCAACAAAGGCAGTAGGTTAAACTGTTCTCAGCCCACCAGCAGTCCACCAAGATCTTTCAGGCTTCTCCGTTAGGTCTATGCCCTGACAGTAGATTTTCACACCCATCCATTGCCTTCTCAGAACTCAGCAGGTGTCATCTACTGGGTGTACTGGACCAGTGTGGGAACCCCACCTTTGCCCTGCCTGCCAGTTCCCTCCAGTGCTGGAGACTCATTGCAGTCCCCAGGCATTCCTGCTATGCATCAGGTATCTGAGACTCTTTAAAGTTCTGAGCACACTGCCCGCCTGTTTACAATACCTTCCCAGAGGAGTACTCAGCTGCCAGCACAGTAGACTTTATCTCCACCCATGCTGAGCCCTGAGACTACTCAGTTTGGGTACAGAAGGTAGATTTTTATTGGAGGAATAACTCTTACATTTTGAGCAGTTGGGAAAAGGCCAACAGAGAAAGGGGCTGGCTGAGGTTATTATGCTCTTACCTTATTTGAGACCATCTACTGTGAGATAGAACGGTGTCCCTAATTTAGAGGCTGGACCACTTATAGTTGAAGAACATATTTCTTATGCTGCCTACAACATTAAAACATTAAAATCTGTGGAAATTTCATCTGATTTTGTTCTAGTGGATTACTCTTATCATTATCTTAGATTGCTGTTGTTTGTTTTTTTCATAGTTTGTATCTTCTGGCCTTTTCAGTGAGAAATTGGAAAACAACATACCAGGATCCTGTTGCAGTATCTTTCCATAAGCTCATATTCAGGCAATGATTTTCTCAACTCAAAATTCAGGTTTAACTAGAACATGGAATGGCAGAGTTTCCCAGCTATGTTTTTTTTTTTTTTTCTAATTGTAGTTTTTCATTAGTTTTGCTGAATAAATAATTGTTTTAATCAAAGAAAGATTTGGGGAGAGTTCAGAGCCATTTTCCTCAAGTTGATTAAGTTAGAATCCTAGTTTTCCTGATCTTATTCATTCATGATGATACAGCCATGCTCTAAAACTTGCCCGTACATCTGATCTTGATTCTGGAA